GGAGGATGCAAGCACAGGGTGCCCCTACTACTCTGCCATCTTAACTCCTCCCTCACTCATAATATTCCTATGATCTTTTCATTTCTGTACAATTGTTAGTAACATCCTCACTTTCATTTCTTTTTTTTTTTTATTAAGTTTTTTTAAGTTTATTTATTTATTTTGAAAGAAAGAGAAAACACAAGCTGGGGAGGGGCATAGAGAAGGAGAGACAGAATCCCAAGCAGGCTCTGTGCTGTCAGCACAGACCCCATCATGGGGCTCGAACTCACATACTGTGAGATCATGACTTGAGCTGAGATCAAGAGCCAGACACTTAACCAACGGAGCCACCCAGGCACCCCTGCCCCCACCACTTTCATTTCTGATTTTAGTTATTGAGACTTTTTCTTTAGTCTATCTAGCTAAAGATTTGCCAAGTTTGTTGATTATTTTCAAAGAACCAACTTTTGGTCTCATTTGTTTTCTCTATTGTTTTTCTATTTCATTTATCTCTGTTCTTTCTTTCTTTTGGCCAGCTTTGGGTTTAATTCATTCTTTTTCTCATTCCTTAAGTTATAAGGTTAGGTTGTAGATTGTCAATCTTTCTTATTTTTTAATGTAGGCATTTATAGCCATAAATTTCCCTCTGAACACTGTTCTTGCCATGTCCTGTGAATTTTAGTATGTTGTGCCGTTGTTTTCATTCACCTGTACTTTCTAATTTCTCATGTAATTTCTCCTTTGATCCATTGTTTATTTAAGAGTGTACTGTTTGATTTCCACAATTTGTGACTTTTCCACTTTTATTTCTGTTGTTAATTTCTTTTTTTTTTTTTTTAATTTTTTTTTTCAACGTTTATTTATTTTTGAGACAGAGAGAGACAGAGCATGAATGGGGGAGGGGCAGAGAGAGAGGGAGACACAGAATCGGAAACCGGCTCCAGGCTCCGAGCCATCAGCCCAGAGCCTGACGCGGGGCTCGAACTCACGGACCGCGAGATCGTGACCTGGCTGAAGTCGGACGCTTAACCGACTGCGCCACCCAGGCGCCCCCCTGTTGTTAATTTCTAACTTCATCTCACTGTGGTCAGAGAAGATACTTTATATGCAATCTATCTAAGACTTAATTTGTGACCTGACATATGGTCTTTCCTGGAAAGTGTCCCAGATGCACTTGAGGAAAATGTTTATGCTATTGTTGATTATTCTGTATATGCCTGTCTTATCTAGTCGGCCTATTGTTTTATGTAGTTTATTCCTTTACTTATCTTCTGTCTGGTTATTGTAGAGTTGTCTATTTCTCCCCTCAAATCTGTCAGTTTCTGCTCCATGTATCTTGCTGGTCTTTGCACCTCTGTGATCGGAAACAGCAATCAGTGATCTCTGATTTTAGAGGACAAGGTCCACTTTGCTCACCTTGGCTCCTATAAACTGCTCATAAGCTCCTCTAAGACACGTGTGCAGCTGCCTGCTAGGGTACTGGGTAGCTGGTACTGGGCTAAAAGCAGAAACTTACTGAAATTAACTTCAATAGAAGTCTATGCCTTCCCCTGGACGTAAAAAAGTTTTCAATAAACTCCAGAGTTCCAAAATAGTTTATATCAAATTCTGCCAATGCAATTGTTGTGTAGGTGGGGACACAGATTCCTGGTATGTCCTGCTCTGCCATCTTCCCAGAATCCGCTACCTAGGTCTTCTTAGCTACTTTTCCCAAATACTCAGCTCATAGTTGGCACTTAGGAAGTAGTAGCAAATAAATAAGTAAACAATTTAGTTATCTGAATCTATTTCCTGAGTTTCAAATAGCAAGGAATACTTATTTTAGTCATTAGGTTTCTTTTTCCATCTATTCATATTCTATGCCCATTTTCCTACTGGACTGTTATTTTCGTATCAATACATAAACGTTCTTTATGTATTTTGGATACAAACCCAGCTTTACGTGTTAATATCTTCTGCACACCTGAACCCTTTTATTTACATTTTGATGTATATACATTTTTAAAGTAGGCAAATCAATTTGGTTTTTATGTCTTTAAAAAAATCCTTCTCTACCCCCACAATATAAAGAAAATTCTCCAGGAAATAAAGTCTAATAGTTTCCAAGTATGCTTTTTTACATTTAGACCTGTGAATCTACCAAGTGTATAGTATGAAGTAGACATCGATTCTCTTTTTCTATGTCATTCTTAAACTACTTCTTCACTGATATTTTATACTATTTTTGTTATATATCAACTTCTAATATTCTTGCCCTTTTTTTTTTTTTCCTCTTTCTACTTTGGTTCCACTGTCTTTATCAAGCCAAGGATCTTAACCTAAAATTACACTCAAAGTTAGCATGTATCTGGACATCTGCACCTTTTCTAAGGGGATATAGGTTTCACTGGAATTCTAAAATAGAGCATATAATCAAAAAAAAAAAAGGTTAAAAAAAAACACACAACAAAACAAACAAAGGCTAAAAAATACTCTTCTATAGAATTGTACCTAGAGCTTTATACAGGTTAACAGAAAAGAATTTCTCCAGGATGGTGTGACTATAGTCCTACTTGGGAGGGAAGGCAATGAAATAAATAACCTCTCAAAGTCTCTTAAAGGCCCGAAAACCCCCTCATAAAATCACAGAATTTAGAGCTGGAATGAACCCTAAGAATCACCTGATATAAACTCCATTTTTGGATGAGAGTAAGGACAATCAAATGACTTGGCCAAGATCAGAAATCCTGTTTAATGGCAGACTTGGGAATGAAAGTCAGGTCACTGCACTCACAGTACACTATTCCTGGTGTTCTATCACACTGTTTCTATTTGACAGTGGAGAGGAAGGTGTGACAAAGAGGGCTAAGAGGAGGCCATGAGAGGAAGGACAGAAACGAAACAGCAGTATGAAGCTGCGGCAAGCACACTCACAAAATACATTTAAAGCCTCATACATTCATGCATGTAGCAATGTGGAAACTATTTTTAATCCTAACTACAACTCTATCTTGGCAAAAATATGCCAATAGCCTTAAAAATGATCTTACCCTTTGCTCAAGCAATCCACCCACTCCAAAGAAATTACCTTAAGAATTCAACTGAAAAATGAAGCAATCGCACTCAAACACATTTCCAGTAACCTTACTCATAAAAGCAAAAAACCAAAAATAAAGCAAAAAAAAGTTCTCTGAATACACTTTGCAAATTATAAATTCTGATTCATCAAATTGACCAATCATCATAAAGGGATTAAAGGCGGTAAGAAAAACTAAATTATTAATGCGATCATTTTAACTGTTAAAATGAAACATAGATATACAAACCTATACACTCACGGGTGTTTGGCTATTCATTACAGCAATCACTTAGTATGTATTTCTCTGCAAATTATTTTTTACTAAAAATACTTCAATATTGACTACCTCTCCAGCCAACAATTCATCCTTTTCAATAAGGACAAAATATTCCATATATGGAGTATGATGTATTCAGCCATTTCTTTATCCTTATTGATGAAATGGACATTCAGGTCACAATTTTTTTTTTTTTTTTTTTTTTTTTTTTTTTTTTTTTTTTTTTTTTTTTTTTTTTTTTTTGCTAGTACGGTGTTGCAATAAATGTCTTTGTACATTTCCCCATACACGGATGCTCTTCTTCTTACACAAAAGATTCTCAGAAGTGGGGCAGAAAGAGCAACAGTTTATGCTTATGTACTTAACAGTGAGATGCCTTCAGAATTTTAACTTTTTTTTTTTTTTTTTT